GCTTGGACCTGCTGCCCCTTCCCCTGCCCCGGGCCAGGCGTGTTCCAGCCCCCGGGAGCGCTGCCCCCGTCGCCCTTCCCGGGGCTGGGCCTGTGGCGGAAGAGTGCGGCCCCGCTGCCGGCCGAGGTGCCGCACTTCTGCAAGGAGGCCGACGGCCCGGCACAGAAACTCTACAGGCCCACGGTTCTGAAACCCATCCCCACCAAGCCCGCCATCCCCCCACCCATCTTCAATGTTTTTGGCTATCTTTAGCGGGGCGGGTGCCGGAGTCACGCCGAACACGACAGCTCCTGAGGGGGATTTGAAACGCCCGGTCAGCCCTCGGGCATGAGCGGCTGGCAGGGGAAGGAGGCCGGCGATCACACCCTCAGCCTCGTGGGCGGGCTGGAGGGAATAAATAACTGCTGGGAAGGTACTTGGGCTGCGCTCTCCCCTCCGTACGTAGGGGCAAATCGGCAATAAACCTCGCGAAGCCGGTGGCATGCAGCATGAGGCACACCAGGTCTCTTTCATCCATGGGCATTGTCTGAGCCGCGGCGAGCGGGGCTGCGGGCCATTCATAGCCGCGCTTGTAACACCTACGAGACCGCCTCCACGTGGGAACATCTTTCTGGGGCTGCCCTGCGGCAGCAGCAGCGAAATGGAATAAATTAAATGTATTCAAAGAGTTTTCTGTACTTTAATTCCAGAGAAGTCAAGATATTCAGGTCATTTCGTTTTGCATGCAAGGGACTGGAAGGATGGTATTTGATATAGAAACCACTTGTGATTGAGTTGAACTCTTGTTGTATGTAAATACTGAGAGAATTAAAAGAAAAAAATAAGGGAAGAAAGAAGGTAATTTTATTTTGGTGATTCTGCAAGTACACTCTGTTTAGTTTTGCCCCGCTGGTGGGGAGATACAAGGGCTGAAATCTCTGCCTATTCGGACTGATATAAATCAGAATTCTTCTGGGGCTAGGATGTTAGCTAGTGCTAAGCTGGTGCAAATGGAAGCGGGATGCATTTCCACATCAGGCATTGATCTGCATCAACATAATAAGTGAGGAATTGTATTAGTTTAATACAAAACCATTAGGTATGATGGAAGAAAAAGGAAAGAATGGACTACCTTGATTTCTGGTTGAGAGACATCTTTTATTTTGCCTGATTTTAAGATGATATCACAAGACCTGGCTGTAAATGTCTTGCCTAGTATTTTCCTAATTTGTTTAACAAATTGGCATTGGAGAATTTATTAAGAAGTGTTTTTAAGTTAGGTTTCTCTAAACCCATGGAGAAAGTGGTACTAAGACAGAACATGAGATATGAGATGTTTAAGGCTGCAGGTGTTTGTATCTATTTGGTTATACTGGAGTAAATCACTGAAGTCAAGAGCAGTATATTTTGGGAGGAAAGAGGGACAAAGAAAGGACATCCATGACCTCCCAGGGCTTGAACCTGCTGTTGCTGAAGCTAATGGGAACTTCTCCCAGGACTCAATAGAAAGTGGCCTTGATTGGTTTGGTCTCTGACTGGCATAGCTCTCTATGACTCCTGGTATCTCTACAAGGGGAAAACCAGAAAACACTTCACTTGAGTGCATTGCAGTCATTAAAAAAAATATCATCTGAAGCAGTTGTAGAGTATCATTTTGTATCTTCTGATGGCCTTGGTATTATATAACCTCGTTGCAACTTTTATTGGGATATGAACTACCACTGGCATTAGGTCAGTTGGTTAAAGCCTGGTGCTAATAATGCCAAGGTTGTGGATTTGATCCCTGTATCGGCCATTCACTTAAGAGCTGGATTTGATGATCCTTGTGAGTCCCTCCCAACTTAAAATATTCTGTGATTCTACTCCCAGGCTAGAAATGGTTTACTCTTTCCCTAAACCTCACATATCCCACCAATGTTCACTTTTACGGAAACAATGTCTGTAATGTGTTCGTAGTCCAGGTGAACTGTAGAAATAGAGATGGATTTCATTGCCTTCTCCCTGCATTTGATATGTATCAAGCTAGCATAGACTATACCTGTAGGAGAGAGAGCAGGAAATGTCTTTGGTAGCACATACCTGTAGCTACATGCAAGGCATGAGGTGCTGAAGAGCTAATCTAGGGGCTAAAGATGTCAGGTTAGCTCTTGATCCAGAACTGAAGATAGGAACATACTTAAATGCCTTTCCCTTTTTTGGAAAAAAAAATCAATGAGGAAACTCCAGAAGAAGAATAATAGAAACCAGAGCCATTGAAGTTAAAGGTAGGAGAACAAGGGCTTTTAATTTACAGATCTGTAGACAAGGAATTTTTTTACATGGAAATGTTTTTTTTTATCACATAAGTAGCTCTGTGTCCTGCTGTAATCCAGATGCAGCCAGATGCTGAAATCTGTTTCAATACTATCGATGCAGAGCCGCCTCCTTGGCATTGGTCTGTATTTGCATCTGGGTGGCCAGACCAGGTCATGGAATGAACTACTGGCATTGCAGTAGTTGCTGTGCTCAAGTGTTGCTCCTTGAGTTCTTTAGGGAAATTTCATAGTGCTGTGGATCACACCAGAATAAGGATTACTATAAAAATTCAAATACTTGGCAAAGTGGATAGCCTCTGTATAAATTTTATTTCTGAAGAAATCCAGAGAAAGATGAGAGTTACAACCTGTCTTTTGAATATTTAATTCTTAATTTTATTTTTTCCCTTCTTTAAAACTCTTTATTATTTGAATGTATATTGCTGCATATTTTCCATGTAGTAGAACAGTGCTTTAAAGTTATGATGAAAGATTGAAACAGTCCATTCTAAATGACCTCAGACTCAAATACTTATGCTCCTACACTCAGATTTAAACTAATATTACTTTTTCAAAATCCTTTGTGACATGGAAGTTCCCCCCCACCCCAGCCCAAGGCAGGCAGTGGCCCTTGATGGGGCTTTGAACTGAAGCAGCAGTGAAGTAAAACACAAATGAACAGAAGACAATTGTTAAGTATATTCAAAATCCCTGAATGGGGATGTGTGAGACTTTCCAAAAGGTTTGCAAATAATAGCAACTCTGCCTCCTCTCTAGCAATATTTACCGTTCTCTCATCCCTGAGATTAACAACAGAATGATTAATTGTTCAAGCTTGGATTGATTCAAATTTTCCTGGATATTTTTGTGTTTGGTTGGTCGATGGTTGATGTTGCTATTCAGGACAGCTGATAGTCCTTAAGAATCTACTTGTTTATTCATACTTTGTTTGAAAGATGGAAACATAACATTTGAGAGCTGCTATTTACTAAAACAGTGCAAATTTAAACTTTAAAAAACACAATAGCTTTTATAAATAATGGGAAGGGAGAGGTAAATGAAAAAAACTTTTATACAAAATGAAATTTTAAAAAAATCAAAAAAGTGCAGAAGAACATCAAGTGAATTGCACATTTTGCAGTAAAAAAAATGTACAGTAACCTGGTCATGAAATATTCCTAGAACATTTCACATAAAGTCATCATCTCTGAAGGAGTCTAACTATCACACTCAGTAAAACAAGCCACTTTACCTTGAACTAGAATTACTGATCTGCTTACAAAGCCTGGCATGCCTGGGTTCTGGAAGATTTTTCTTTTCACAGTAACTTCTAGGTAGATGCATTAAAGGCCCATTGAATTCATGCAGATTCAGTATTGTGCACAAAATAGCAAGTCAGTGACTGGAGTGGAGAGGTAGTGAGCTCCATTTCAGTGAGAATAAATGTAAACTGAGTGTGTGAAGGTATGCTTTAAAGATCAAGCAGAAAGGATTTAATAACATTGTAATTACTAGACTCCCCCTCTAACAGACTCTTCTCACCTCAGTTTCTGTGCAGAGCATGCACTTATCCTTCCCACAGATGTGTTATGTTCCCATCAGACCAGTGCTCTCTGCCTCAGTGACTTCTGCTCAGGACAGATCCTTGACAGCAACCAGGACATGGGTCTCCCCATAGAAGTGAAAGTCTCTTGGTTGAAAGAAGAAATGGGCTTTCCTTATTTATCCCATTCAAACACAGTTTCAGGTTCTCCTAGGATATAAAAAGAAATTGCTACTTGCTAGACTTTTGTGGACACAAAAATGTTGGCTCAGGGGAAATTCCCAGTTTGGGACAGTTATGAAATCCCACTTCTGGAGTTATACATGTACTTGGTGATTGTGAACCCTTCTACCCCGTCTACCCTTCTACCTTCTTCAGGGCTGTCACTGCACACCAAACTCTGGAGTGGTCTCCACCAAGCTCCATCTGTATCCATCATCCCCTACAACTCTGCTTTGTAATACTTGCTTGATTTCAAGGACTTTTGATTTCTATCAGTGTGAGACCCAGACCTTTGTTTTTCAGCCTCAGAAAGTGAGAGATGCATGAACTCCACAGTGATTTTCTGTCTCTCCAGGGACTGCTTACCAATACAGGACCTTCACTGGCAGAACTGATAGAGCAATTTCTTGTTCCCCATCCTTTTCTATCCATCCAATATTTTTCTAACCTGAACCAATTCCCTGTTCACACTGCAGAAGAGTGTGAGGATAGATCCTAAACTGGTAGTAAAGGAAGTTAATGGATGAAACTTCACCAGTGGAGGAAGCCCACCTGACTTTCCAAAGCTTTACAAGAAGATCACTGTTCAGTGTGAATTGAAACTCAGTTGGTTTTTCAATTTTTGCATTTATAAAGGGAACAGCAATGTAGACATGACAATGACAGAGTAAGCAATCCTGTAAGCAATCCTTTTTCTGCTTACATCCTGTCCCACAAGTGATGAACACATTTCACACAAAGCCATCACAGTCTGTGTGCCCAGACAGATTGTATTACTTGTATTTGTGCAACACACTTTAGTCCTGTGCTCAGGTATAAAACTCCACACAAATAAAACTCAGTGCAGTGTATTTTCCCTACTTAGATTTCTATCATATTCCATAGATGCTATCCAAACAAAACCAGATCTGTAAGGTCTCTGGTAGGGACTCTCAGCAGACCCCACCAGGCACACTAGGCACAGCTCCTCTGTCACCTAAGGTGAGGATTGTGCTGCTAGCTTAAGATGCTAATCTGAAAAGATGTAGTTCCAAATTTAGTTTCTTCTATTCTTTCTTAGGTGCCTAGTGAGGAATAAAGCACTCATCAAAGCAGTTCAGCAAGTCACACCTGTCAAGTGATCTGTAGTCACTGCCAATAACTGTTCATGGGCTCCTTGGCCTCCCCAGCTGTGAGGGAATGTGACTTGTTAAAAACTTCAATAAAAGAATTTCACGGACAATTACAGTGGTTCAGCAGATAGATGGTGACTTGTTAAGTTGCCATAAATCAGTTGTGGATCTGAGCTGTAAATAGGTGACCTAATTTTCAAAGAAGATGAGATAGTAACTTTCATCAGTGTCAAAGGAAGCTAATAGATACTTCAAACTTCCAAAATCAGAAATTTCAGGGCTAAATTCTGAGATATTTATTCTGCCTCGGTAATATCTGATACTGAATATGATTCCCCTGTTTTAAGTGGAACAACACCTGGTCAAGCAACTTGGCATTGTTTAGGCAGCTGAATAAGGATTTGGAAACCTAATTCTGGGTATTCATTTCCATAAATTTTGCAGTTTGAATTCAATAATTTTGAAATAATTTCTTTTACTTTCAATCATAGTATTGTTACAGCCATAGAGGAGGTCGGAGAGGCTGGGTTTTGTAAAGATCTTCTGGGGGAGAAAGAGAATAAGTTGGTTCAGCAGTGTTGCCTCTCTCCTTCACATCACTCTCTGTTCCAGCTCCTCTAGGGCTTTGTTCTGTTCTGACACCAGCTTTATGAAAACATAAACCTACTGTTTACAGTACAGCTACTTCTAATTTACACCAAAAAAAAAGAGCTTAGGGTTGCTTTCAAATCCCCAGTCTAGGAAATTCTCTCAAGCAAAATTTCACTTACTTCCTATTGCAAATAAAATACAAAATGGACTGTATTCACTATGTGCAAATATAATTCTTCCTTCCTCCTTAAATAAACCTTTCCTTGACTTTTAAAGAATTCAGCATTTCTGGATTTTAGTCTACTAGATCTTCTGAGATTTGAAGGTTCAGAAATCAAGTACTCAAAATGAAAAGTACAAAAAAAGAAGTGCTAGCAAGGTGGTGTCAAAATATCTGAGAATTAGCAACCAACACACTTCACATAAATCCAGATAATAGAATAGAAACTACAATATAAATCTCAGTCAGTGAAGGCAATGTGATTGTTTTCCCAAATACATTGATTCTTGACAAGTTCTGAGTTGTGACCACAGCAAGGGTGCTATGCTCCATCACAGGTTCAGGGCACTTTTGAATTCCTCACTGATACTTGCTTCAGCACTACTCATTTGTCAGTGTTGGCTCTCATTTCTTCTTCTTCTCAGACTGAGGTCTGAGGTGAATCGTATTTTCTCTTGAAAATCCTAACAGCAGTTTCCTGTGTTGTCTCCTCCATTTTCTTCTCACTCATGCTTCAAAAGGACATTTCTCTTGGATTAGTCATGGGAGGGTGCTTGACCAAGCCCGCAGCAGTTCCTCCCCGGTGTGCACCTGTGCCACGGTGGTGGCGCCGGGTGCCAGCCAGGAAGCTGCTGCATATCCAGTGTGCTTGGGGTCACTGTGAGTAGTCATGCTGTAAATATCGGATCAGTCTGTCTGGGAGAGGCAGGGTGTCGAGGAGTTTGATGCGGTTTCTTCCAACCAGGCTCCGTACCTTGATGCGGCAAAGATGGGAAAGAGGTCGTGGAGGTTCTGAAAGATAGGTGGGTCAGAAACATGAGCAGAATAGATTTTAACTTGAGGGACTTGAGCTCAGCTTGGGCAGGAGGAAAATGGGAGAAGGAAGAATAAAAAAAGGGGTTTTTTTCAGTAATGAGGGGATAATATGTCTGGGGTTGGAATAGAACACCTATTCTGAGGCATGATATGGGGAAGGATGTGGGGCTGGAGGATGGGGTGCTGTACCCATCTCAGCCATAACAAATCCTTTCTAGGAGGATTTAAACAAGCCACTTCAAAGTGTTCAGCCTTCCCACTGAAAATAATGCAATAGATACCAAATTTATCTTGGTGCCAGAAAACTGATTCTGGTCTATGAAAGGCTTTTTCCTGAGGGAATGGATATTAGGAGAGTGGAATATTCATGATGGTTTTAAAGACCACTGGTGCTTGCTAGGCTGCTGTGGAGATGGCTGTGCTGCCTACCTGTCCTGATCTAACAGAACCCCAGCTACATCCAAATGGGCCCTTCTGCACTGCTATGCTCATTCCCAGTGGGTCAGATAAATGGCTGGTGTGCACTTCACACCACAGGGCCAGTGACACCCCAGAAATTGCTGACCCTCATACCTGGTCAGTCACAGCAGGGAAATCCTTTCAAGTTTATGGGATGAATACTAAGAGGAGATGGTGACTGAGGTTTTGAATCCAACAGTGGGACTATTTGTGCCATATTCTCTTCTGGGAGAGCATACCTGCTTTTTCTTTAATGACAGCCCAGTCCTCATAGCTGTCAATATGCTCCTTGAGCCGGGAACAGAGCTGCACGTTACCCACATAGTCCAGAAGAACGTCGATGATCGGCCCAGCCCAGCGACTTATCTCTGGAGTAGACACCATTTCACAAAACTTCAAGGAAAAACAGATTGACTGGCATCAGTGGGACAAAAATGCACTTGTGGAAACAGCAATTGCAATAGCCCTGACAGCTCTAGTGGTGACCCCCTTCTACCAGCTGTGAGGGCAATTGCCACTTTCCTTTCAGAAAACTTCAACTGGAGCCTGTTCCAGCTGAGGGTAGAACCTCTCTTTGCAGTCACTTTGACACAAATCCCTGGTAAAGTCCTAGCTCTGGAGCATGGAATAACGCTGAATTGTTTACAAGTCCTAGGGTACTACTTCCACAGAAATGCAAGGGCAGAGAAACTTTGCCCCAAGCTAGTCAGGGGCTGCTGAAAGATCCCTGCAGTCTAGGGCCTTGTGACCTAGAATGCTGGGTCCTTTCCCTTCTTGGGTGGAGTTTTGAGAGGCAAAAAGGAATCTTAGGGAAAGAGGGAGATTCAGAAGAATGCAGCACCTCCTGCTTCTTGTGAACCTGCTAGTATCTGCAGCTTTGGGGGGGCAAACATCTTACTAGAAACAAGTCTGGAGAAATCTCTGCTCAGATGAATTCCAGGCCATTTTACTCACTCATGTGAGAACTATCCTGGCCCTAATAGAGGGGTGCCTTCTGTCCTCATGACATCAATCATGCAAATTTTCTACTGTCTCCAGTGTAAGCTGCAGAGTACCCAAATCCATTGCATGGAGGGCTTCTTGTGAAGATAGTGAAGAATAGACTTAAGGACCTGGCTTTAAGCTGACTAATTTAAAAAAAAAATCTGCCCACTTTAACATAAATATGTATATTATACCAGTCAGTTTCATTTGTCTCTTTTAGGGTTCTGCATATGATGAAGATATCTGTGGATGCAATCTGCATGCAAGCAGTCAGGAAATTTAACATGAATTAAATCATGCTGAGTGGGTAAGAACTCAGGCACATGGCTGAACCCTATTGAATGATGGTGGCTGAAGCACCATCCATCAGCTTAGTCACTCAGACTGTCTGCAAACACCTTCTAAGCCCACACCAAACAGGAAAGAAAATGTGCCATCTTAAAGCTCTCTCAGTTTAAATTCCTGTAACTAGATAAAATTTGATTATTTGTGTATGAGTCCTAACTCAACTCCTAATCATTATGCTCTTGTGTGGATACTCTTATTCAGAAGTAAAATTATATTAGTTCACCTCGTAAATAGAGCAGTGGAAAATAAGGTTATTTTCTTCAAGGTGAGAGCATTCACAGAGGTGTTCACTACACTTCTGACTCTTATTTTTCACTGAACATCACCATGTAATGTTTCCTAGGACAACTGGAGACAGTAATGTCAGAAGGATGGTGGTGGACAGCCCACAGTTTCCTACCTGGGCTGCTTATAGGAAGTGCAGTTTTGTGTGTCTGGCTGTCACTCCCCAGTGCGTGTGTCACTGCCATGCAGTCGCCCGTGGGCAGCACAGACTGGGCACCAGCTTTACCACCTCCTTGCAGTTGAAATGAAGACATGTGTAGGGCCATAAAACACTGGATCTTTCTCTCTTCTCTCCACCAGAGATCATGCCTGCCTTTTTCTCTCCCTGTTCACAAGCTCAGCTTACAAAAACCTCATCTGGAATAAACATGTTTCAAAACACATTGCAGGAAAAGAAGGAAAACAAAGAAAAATGATGCAACCTGCAAGACCAGGCAGTGGGATTGACTCAGGGACAAGGTGGCTCTGAGCCTGTGTTCTCGGCAGAAACCCGAATGCCCTCTCGTGGCAGTACGGTACTGCTGTCCGTCCCCACCTGATCCTGGGATCAACAGCAGTTCTGGAAACATGAAGGGAGTCAGCAACCATTTTTCTGTGTTCACTTTCTCCAGGACACACTAATTTAGTAGCATCAGTGATGATTTATATTTGTGCATTTTCCAAATCCAGTTACAGTAGTTTGTAGCCTTTATAGAGACCAATAATTCAGATTTATTATCCTTATGTGATCTTACGGAAGAATATAGAAAAAAACCATCTTTCGTGTGGAGAAGGCTGTAGTTTCATAAGGTCCTCCGTATTTCAGAATATAAACCATAACTACATGTCATGAAGCTGCCACACAAGCCTCACTTTTATTAGCCAAAATCCTAGCAGTAAAAGCAAATAAAAAACAATATTAGAGGGAAGGGTTTACTTTTTTTTTTTTTTCCCCTGTGCACATCTGTCCTTACTGCTTTCTCTCTGGGCACAGATAAAATTTTATAGAGTTTTTTCTATCTCTGCCTCATGTGATGTGACCTTTGAGGCAATAACTCTTTGTTAGTGACCTGATATTTTCTTAGGCAATAGTTCCAGGTGAGATCCAGAAGGAACTGGTTTTGAATGGCCAGGATACCATAGGGGGCCACAGACAAACCCTCTCTATTTGTCTTGGAATTCCATCTCTTTATTCACTCAGTGTGCTGCCATATCACAGATCAAGAACTAGAGATGATATAGTTTATAAATTTTTCTTTGACAAAAAATACGGTATCCTGGAAGAGTTTTGTTGTGACAAAGACTCTTGAAGATAAAGCCCTGTTTAGGATAAGAGATTATTGTAATGAACTCTTAAAATCCTCTCTATAAGATTTTAATTTTGCTTGGTTTTTTTCCCCAGATATGCTACTGCAGAGTAAAGTCTTTTTGAAGACAGGACTGATAAAAAGGTCAATATTTCCTTGGATTTTTTTTTTCTTTTTTTCTTTCCACCACCAAAGAATATATATTGGTAACTATACCTTCGGGATCCCTCAAACCTGCACTTAAACTAGATAGAAGCTGATTGATTTCTTTCCCAATTCTTTGCAAAATAGAAAAACTTCCATGTTGAGATTTCATTTCTGTGTAGTGTATTGAAAGATAGCATAATTTGAGTGGAGCATTAGGTTTTGAGATACATTGGAAGGAGAGAACATACAGAAATCAGAAAAGAAGTATAACCCGAGATTCTGCAAAGTCCTTTAAGGGACTGAGAGTCTCATTTTAGCCCAGTAGAAGCTAAGCCCAGCTGCATTTTAGAAAGGACTGCAAAGATACATGTATAAAGTGTAGATATCTAAAGCCTGTAAGTGGCTTTGAAAATACGAAATCATGGACCTAAATCTCCTAATCTCTTGTGAAATCTTGAAATATAACTCAGTCACACAGCTAATGTAATAATTTATGCTCTCCCTCCATGACTACTTTTCCAGTAGACACAGAAGTTTCAGTTGCTCACATTCAATAGTTTACCCTCACAGAGTGAAGCACTAGACTGTTTTCATGTAACCAGTAGCTAACCTTCTGTATCAGACAAAACAAATCCTACAGGGCAAGTTAAAAAAGGTTTCTACTGCCCAGATTCTATCATCCATATGTTTGTCAGGAAAACATGCCTCAGTCCTGGCACCTCAGGTCCAGAGGAAAAGAGCATTGTAGAACTGTTGGTAAGACTGTCAAGATGGCTACAATTCACTGTAAATTCAAGCTATGTCCACAGTGGCTGTTGCCTACCTTCCTGCAGTCATTGAACACCAACTTGGAATGTTTGAAGACTCATATTGAACCTTTTTTTTTTTTCCCCTGTAAATAAAGTAGGGATCATGGCATTTTATTTCACAAAAATAGTTGGAAGAAAAAATACATTAATGTTGTCAAAACCCAGTGGTAGGACATGTCCTCAGAAGTCCTGTAGGTAGACTAGGCTGTGCTTACCTGTACTACAGTTGGCTCTCTGGTCACCTGAGGATCATTAAGTCTTTCCCGCCTGTAATTCAATGCAGGGTGTGGGCCATTTCCGTACTGACACTCAAAACAGGAACCTGCATCACAGCCCAGATCCAGGAGATACTTCAGCACAGAAAGGTACTTCATTGAAAACATGATGGTAGCTGGAAATGTGGTGGGATGACTTGATATATAGGCATCAATGTTTGCCCCATGGTCAAGAAGCAGTTTCATGGTCTTCAGGCAGCCGTGGCGGATGGAGATGAGTAATGGGTTAATGAGGTCAACATTGGGGTTGGCTCCAGCTTGCAGCAGCAGCTCTGTGGCATAGATATTATTGTTAAAAACAGCAAAATAGAGTGGGGTGGTGCGTCTGTCCTCATAAAGGCAGGACCGTTCATCAGAGAGGGCAGTGTTGACCTCGTAGCCAGCGTCTATCAGCTCTTCCAAGATATCGTCATTGTTGCGTTCGGCCGCTAAGTGCAGGGGGCTGATGCCACTACGCTTGACACGGGTGCGGCTGGTGACAGGGATCAGCATGGAGACAATCCTGCCAGGAGGAGACTCAGTGAGCAGCAGTGAACTCCAGGGGATCTACAGCACTACAGCACGTCATAGCTTTATGATTGTACTCGTAAGGCAGAGCCTGCTAACTTGGACACAGGAGCAGCTCATAGGAACCAGAGTGCAAACCTCAAACCTGTCAGCAACTCCCTGTGCACCTACCTTGCCAAAAATGTGAGTTGTGTGACCTTCCCCTTTCATGGAGGAACACATTTTTTTGAGATTATCACCCAGTTTCTGTGACGTAATGGCAGCTACAGGGGCAGTTACAGTGGAAGAGACGACATGCTGGCACTCACCCTCCCTGGTGTTATTTCTCTAAGGTTCCAAAGCCCAAAGGGCAACAACCAGGCAGGAACTACCAGATATTCTGCACCTTCATCATCATGCTGTGGGTAGGACTGGAGGAAGAGGTGCACAACCTCCAGCCTGAGGTACCAGCAGAGAGAATACATCTCCCCTTCACAGGGTTTGCTTTACTGCTCAGCAGAGAAGGGTGCCAACACAAAGTGCTGGCAGGTCTTGTGGGTCACAGCCACAGTAATGGGCTTGATACCAGTAAGGGGGTGAAACCCCATGTCTACAGGTCTGAGCTAGGATCAACTACAGATTTGGTTCCCAAGCTTTCCCTATTAGATTTTACAATTCACTTATTACCCTGCATGGATCCCTATGCTGCAGGCCTTCACTGTGCGGCTTTTGACTACAGCAAATTTATGGGGCTATCAATGTCCTTCCCAAATCATGGGGAGCCAAAAAGACAATTAGTAAAAGAGAGAAAAAGAAGTAAAATATGTTCAGACTGGTTTCCATGTTTCAGCTGAGGGAGAAAAAATGTGCAGCCAAGTACTAAACCCCAGTAATGAGGGGTTGCTATTGGAAAGCATGATGTGGCCTTAAACACAACAACATAAATAAAGCTGATCTAATATGTAATATGATTTTCAAATATATGATGCACAGGAGCCCTGCAGTCACAAATTCATGATCATTTTTTCATCTGCACAGGTGTCAGTGGAGCTGCATGACCAACCTTAAGGGTTAGACCTTCATTTCCTGCTCATAAAGAAGGGTGATATAACCAAGGCCCTAGGTTGATTCTGTAGATATGGACAAGTCACCTCAAGCTACTTTCAGAAAGAGCCTGGGGATCATCCAACCTGAGTCTGCCTGCTGAGCCAGGAGGTGCCCAGACTTCCTTTGTAAGATCTGTGTAGAGGGGGGATATCATGAATAGGAGCTTGTGTGAGCTGGGAGGCCAAGCACACCCTCTTTGCCTCTTTTCCTCCCATGCAGACTGCTCTACCTAGCAGTCAACAGCCCTGGTGGCACACAAACATGCAAAGCTCAGTTTCCTACCATGTAGTGTGTCTCCTTTAAAATGCTGCATATCTTTAGCTTGACTGCAATGGCTGGGCCCAACACTGGGCCCTCAAACATATATTTACATAATGAACTAAGCCAGTAAAACCTTTGTCTGCGATGATCTTGTGATCCTGTGAAAGATCCAACACTCCCAGGAGCTGAAATTAGAGTTGAAGATGCATAGCATTTTACAGGATTATGTTCCTATTTACATGATGGACTGTTGATGTCTCCAAGTTACTTCTACACCTCATTTTTAAACAAAAAGGCTTTTTAAATTATGTAAATATCTTGGGAAATTAAGCACTTTTTTTTCCCTCCAAGCGGTCACACTAATTTTCCAGCCCTGTGACACTTGCCAGGGAGCAGGAGGTTTGGGTGCTGGTGAGCTGGCAGCTTCCCACCCTCAGCAAATGTTCTGTAAGAGCCTAATAACAAAAAGGGCACAGAGCACTGTGAGGACACAACGCCAAGTACCAGCATTACTCATCCCATGATCAAATGTTTTGAAGATTTAAGGGTCTGTTTTGTTCTTTCCCTCCAGCATATGTGCTTCAGCCAGCTCTTCACATCTGAGTTAAAGAGGCACTGCATCATTTCTGTCTGCAAGGGGAACCTGAACCTCGCTGCACGGGTGCCAGGCTGAGGCTCTGCATCCCAATGCTGCAGTGTCCTGGAGCACAGTACCTACAGTCCCTGTACCCCACATTTATTTTGGTATGACAAGCAGGAAGCATCAAATTTTCATTGGTTTAATTGTGTAGCTTGAACCTGTGTCTCTTTCTCACCCTGCAAAGTGGGTCAGTTCAGTAATATGGTGCCTCTGGAGCATTTCCTGTTTCTCTAGAGGGAAAATGCAACTCAAGGCAGCCAAGGCCAGAGAAGTCAGACCACATCCCATGTCTGTCACAGGGATGAGCTTCATGTACAGTTTTTAACTCGTGCCAAGATTTCGCTAATCCCTGACACCTGCTTCTGTGTTTTCTATTTGTTAGGGGTTATATGGAGGAGGAGGCAGAGCATCCTTAGTGTGAGCATGCCAGGAGTTTACTGACTTGTGCTCCCTTAGTAAATCTGCCCATGCTTCACAGTCTTCCCTTCTCAACATCTCAGTTCTAAGGGGGAAAGAGTTAAATGATTGCTTGTGACTGTACTACAGCTTATGAGATGACCTTTATGAATTTCAGGTCAGTATTGACAAGGTGTCATTTAAAATAAACAAACACCAAGCAACAAGAGTTGACAGTTGAGCCCTGGGACCACATTCTTGGCTTTTTGATGGTAGGGAGCCTTCGTGCTCTGGCAAAAAAGTTGAAATGTGGAATTCCTGCAGAATTACGTATTAAATCTGCAGGAATACAGAGGTCACCATGAAGGGTGTTATTTTACTGAATACCAGAGGAATTAAGAATGATCAGCCAAATAGGCTAAAGTTTTGTCATTTAGATAAATATTTATAAGAGAATATATTTTTCTTTTGTCTCTCTTTTCTACTTCGTTTGCAGCAGTTGTGCACAAAATTTGTGCTCAGTCTTTTACAAATGAAAGAATGCAGAATTTTAACTAAATTCTGGTCTCATTTGTGCTGCTGGTTGTTGGGAATAATAGATACAAGCCCTGAATCAGACCCTTGCTTTCATAACCCATGGGTGAACTCAGGTTGTAGAGTTTCCATGTAAATTTATTCTCAGGTCAGAGTGTGATACTACTGAGGGGAGGGAAAGATTCAGAGACCTGGCCCATAATCTATAAACAAATTGGATTCAGATCATCTTACTGTACTTTCAAGTAAACTTTTCAGAAAGTGAACAACTCAAGCTGAATTCTGTCTCTCACACAAGAAAATTACTTTATAACTCAAACCCTGGAGAAGATTTTGAATCATACTTATGTTAGTAAGTACAGGGTATGGATGCACATGATGTAAATGTATAAACCCATGTATATTACATAAGTTGACACTGTCCTCTAGAATACACAGCTTGCACAAGGAACCAGGCCTACTCCAGCTACAGAAGATTAATATCCTCAGGTCTATCAAAGTGACTTGAGAAGCTTAACTGACATTCCCAAGCAAGTCTAAATGCTAGAATGAAAAACATCATGGGAAGGTGTAGTGAAGTTAAAGCTTTTGTTCCTCAGATACTGTGAAATATGCAGGAATCCACTTGAGCAGTTCTATGCAAAGATAACTGTCCTGTCCAGAAACAGTCACTGCAGTTGGACTCTCATTTCCCTGTTGCAGAAATGTTTTGGTAGAAACTGTGATAGCCAGAAGAGTCCTCTACAGTCACCAAGGGGGTCTGTTACTGCAATGAAAAAATAGCTGTGAGTCACTCACTCTTCCAACAGTGAGGGATTGAAAGCAGGAACAAAAACTTGCTCTAGTATCAGAAGTAAATGCTATGGAGTTCAGGCTCAGAAGAATGCTGCAATGTTCCAGGTTATTACTTACATGACAGTGCAACATCCCATTCCCAGACAGCATCTTCTAAATTGATATTCTTTGTCACAGACTATAGCTTGTCACTTTCCTAGAAAAATCTCTGTTTTAGAGGACTGTTAATTCTACCTGATTTCTGCTTATTTTTTCCACTACTTTTCTCCCTGTTTAAAAAATATGCTCAGCTCTATCTCAAACACATTTAATTTCAGAAGGAAAGCAGTGGGTCTTTTTATAAATTTGTCTGTTACAATTAAGAGTTATTTAATCACTCACTACTAAAATATATTTTCCAGACCATGAGAAATTCTTGTCTTTCTTTTCTGAAGCCTTTATAATTTCCTGAAAGGCTTCTGAAAGGAAGGATATCAGAACTGAACACCATATTCTAGTGACAATCTCACTAATGCCCTAGAGATTCACTTAACCACTTCTTGCTGTCAGGAACTGAATTATTGTTATGAAAACCTGAGCACACCAGAGACAAATCCACCATCTTCTGCTTTTGCAGAAGAATCACAACAGGCCTAAACCAGGACATTCATGTAGGAAAATGATTGCAAACCATGCTGGAAAAGCTATTAGGGACTAATACTCCCCACCAATACTTTTTCTGTTATATTTCAAGAATATTTTGAGGACTTCAGTTTAATCCACTTCCAAGATACCTTATATTATTTAGCTGTAATAAGTGATGTCTTGTTAAAATAAAAGGAATCTTTCACCCCACATTCCTGCTCACCCCATCCCATCCCAACCTCTAAACGCACTCTCCAGTGTACAGTTTCTAGCCTGAGCTCTGCATGCAGAAAGCCCCCCTCTCAGCTGGTATCTGCCCTGCTCACATTGCTCAGAATGAGTTCTGGGACATTACATTCTCTTTTTGCAAGGCCTTTGGATCCTTTTCAAAAAAAAACAACACCATAAAACTAACTAAAACTTACTCGCAAATCCCTTTCTTGGCTGCTATGTGAAGAGGTAACAGGCCATCCTTATTGGCTTTGTTAGCATCTGCTCCTTGGGACAAAAGGAACTCCACAATAGGAATATGTCCATTTTTGCAGGCTTCATAAAGAGCAGAGGCGTTATCACTGGCTTGTGTATTTATATCAGCACCTAGGAAGGAAGAAAATCTTTTAGCACCCGCACCCAAAGGTTAAAATGAGATGGAGGAGCATACTTTGAATGAACACTTATATTTCCATGACTGGAGCTATGAAATGTGCTGGATGGAGATGAGAACACTGACATATCAGAGGTGGCACAGTCATACCACCCTTATATCATAGATTTACATTGATTTATAATATGATGGGAATTTTATGAGGGGCAGTTTATCATGGGTGGCAACTATTAGGTCCCAATCATGACTCCAGGCTCCATTCAGCTGTAGCTCAAAGGCAAAAAAAAGATTAAATGGGCTGTTCTTTATATGGCATGGTCTTTCCTTCAAACACACTAATTTTTATGTGTTTACACTATGTATATATACTATTCCTGGGCAGGAGTTTGGACTAGATTATCCCAATAGATGCTCTCTAAAATTCTATGGATATCTATGCTATATTTTTATTTAAATTTATCATTTATACTCTATATAGTCACACTGTAATTATTATAAATACACATTTATAGTATTTATACTCCAATTTGATTTGATTATGTATCCAGGATAAAAGAATACTGTTAAAAATGACATCTGCATGGTGCTGATCAACAATTCTAAACAGGTTTTATTTGTGAGTGCCTTCATCAATGAATATTGCATTTCAAAACTTAGCACCTGAGGCCATATCTCTTCACTTCAGGAGGGTTGGAGTTAAGCTTCGGATGTTAAGTTCTACTATAAAAATTAGATAAATATTATCAATGAACTACTGGATTATATGGGAATTTCTTTCTTGAGCTCTAATGTATGCTTTGTTTAATAAATAACATGCAAGTATAAACTAAGGCAACTCTTTTTTGCCATAAACAATATGGAATCTAGCTTTTTCTGTTGTAGATATTTAAGACCTTTAAGCCTGGGTTTTGGCTGTCATATACTGTACCATGGTGCTCTCAGGAAGGCTGCTCTATGTGCATCCTAAATGGGAATGACAGTTCACTGGAGTTTTGCTTCTAAACTCCAATAAAGAAACCAATCAGTCTTCTGTTTGATCATGAAAGCTCTCTGCCAATGAGGACATTTCCCTGGGCTCTCACCCTAAGCTGAAACATCTGTGTTGTGTTTGGCCCTTTGAAGATGTTGTAGCTGGAAACTTCAGGACAATTACAGTGACAAAACATAACACAGGACTATGTTCCTAATGAGAAAGAAACCCTTTTCATTATGAAAATTGCTCATCATAAACAAATGAATGATATCATTCCTGGGATGCTCCAAAGAGCTTTTCAGGGCTTGAAACAATTGGACAGTTTTATTGGCGTTTTGTGCCTTTTTCTCAAAGTTGAACTTCAAGGAAATCTTAATATCTATCTAATTTGAAACACAAATCACATCCTGGCTTGGTTTCTTAAGTCATAGGCAGCATGATGGACTAACAAAACTCTCTTGACAAGACTATCTGGGCAGCAGAACACATTTTTTTTGTTTCCCAACTCTCATATCTTTCTTAATCTTTCTAATTTTTTCAGAAGTTTTTCTTATTTTCGTCACTGGTAAGCTCTTGTTTTGCAAGTGCAGGACCCAAGTCTTATTGAAGATATTAGTCCATTGTGAAAATAAAATATGCCTCAGTGAAGTGTATTTTGCTTATTGTAAATCTGTTTTAAATGAGTGGAGCAATAAAATAAAGTTTTAGTGTAAATTAGATTCAAATTCACTATGTTTATATGTTTGAACACTTACACATGGGGACAGTGAATCTGCTTCTATTTGATATAAACCCATAAACTCTACAGTAGTGCTTTATCTATTTTCAGAGGATACATTACGAGGACAGCTAATCTTGTTCATCACTGCACATTCTTGAGCAGATGGGATAGGCTGAAGTTCAACTTCTGCCATCTATTACCACCTACAGCTGTCTTTTATAACTGGCTGGATTTTAGGCTACATGTGTGCAGCAGTATGGATTTAGAAAGCTGTAAGGAAATGCAGTCAGACAGCACCACATTACTTCCCAGAGCAGGTGACCGTGAATGAATGCTGAAGAAGTGCATGTTTCTAGACCGTGTATTTCATGCTCTGTGAAAGACCCTACCCAGTCCCATCATCAGGAGCAACAGTGTTTTAGTGTCTCTGCAGGCCAGGCTTTGCCTCCAGAGGCAGAAAAAACGATCCAGGGAGAATTACTGGGAAACTCTGAATTATTAATAATTAAATGAATAGATGCATGTAAGCTGTACTCACCGCATCCTGCAAGGTATCTCAAAGCTTCCAGCTGCCCACTCTCAGCTGCCACAAATAAAGAAGTGATCCCATAGGCATTTGCAGACTCAATCTTGGCACCTCCTTTCACAAGGATATCAATGATCTCCAGGTCATTTCGGGAGACAGCCTCATGGAGAGCAGTCCAGCCTCGGTTGCAGCGATGGTTGGTATCTGCATTGTACTGCACCAGGAGCCTTGCAGCCTCTGCATTCTTGCGCTCACAAGCTGTTTTAGAAAAAAGGGAAGAGGCTAGGACAGGCTTTTGAAAGTATTCTGTCACAAGCTGTTTTAGAAAAAAGGGAAGAGGCTAGGACAGGCTTTTGAAAGTATTCTGTGTGTTGGGTATCCATTTCAGGTAGCCCAAGGCAATATAGTACAAGTAGGCCATAGTAAGACCAAAGATCCATTTAAGCCTGTATGAGTGCAAAGGTTGCTGCCAAGTGACACTGTCTGAGGCTCAGAAAGGATGTGGCAGTGAAGCCAGTCTTCAGCTGGACCCAGATAAGTGTCCTGTGCAGGAGAAGAAAATTTAAAAAGCTCAAATCAACAGTTGTGTAGCTCAGTAGCACTTTGTCAATCTATAGTTCAATTTATAGCTCAGGACCATCCTGAGCTAAAGATAGTTTCTTAATAATTAATAGCATTTTGTTGATTTTTATTCTTCCAATTTGTCCCATAGCTTTTTGAATCCCAAATCATGAGGCTTCCTATGCACCTTAATAGTGGGACTCTAACCTAGAAATACATAGGATGAGCAGCTACATTGGAAAACCCCAATCAGCATTTGTTGTGCAATGTACAGAAGAGAAGCACATTTCATAACAATTAGTTTTTTCTTTGAAATAATAGTGTATTTTTCTCACAGAGGTCCGACTGATTCTTCCTTTGCAATAGCTCCATGGTGCTCTCCCCCATATACAGGTGTCATTTGTATACTGAAACCAACTGTGTAATTAGACATTTCTGTAATTATCGATCCATGGCTCTGCAGAGTTTAATTTGCTTACATAAGAGGGATGACTATTTTGTTATGACAGTTTTTTAAACTGTTGTTTGCTGTTCTTGTTATTGTAGGATAATGTAGAAGATACTGCATCAAGGATAATCCATTCTTACTAACTTCTCTATCTAAAGGGTGTTTTCATATCATTGTTGTTGTGATTATTATTACTATGACCTCTACTACTACTACTACTGCTACTGCTACTGCTGCTACTACTGCTAATACTGCTATTGCTACTATTACTACTACTGCTAACACTACTGTGTGTTTAATGCACAGCTGAACAGCTTTTCCCTGGTCAACTAAAAGCCAGAATTTTGAAACAAGAGCATTTTAAATGTAGCTCTAATGCTAGGCATCCAAATTTGGAGGCAAGACTGTTGTTTTAACCTGTAATATGTGTTTTTAATATTTTAGAGCACTAAAAACTCATGGCAGGAGCAAAGGACATTGGACATGAAGGTGTGAGAAGTCTCCTGTGAATGTTTGTGATATCGTGGATATATTGCTAGTCTGCCAAAAGAAAAAAGTGTTCTCTCCAACCAGCAGCAAAGTAATATGTCTGTGTTAAATACTTTATCTACCTCACTGAACTGCTTTTAATTTGAAGACTGTCCCATAGCACACAGCCTGGCCTGGCCCACACAGTATATGACACTGGCATGTCTACAGTTACTGTACTTGCCCATCCAACAGCTATTTAGGTCCTACCATTTAGCAAAGAATATGTAGTCCTTCACTACCCAGCTTTCTGTAAGTTTGGGACATTGTGCAGACAGCTCGTGCTTAGGGCCCCAGTGAGAATCTCACCCCTCACCCTCAGCACCTCATCACAGCCTGCACCCTGCAGGACAGCTGCTGTTCCTATCTCTGTTCATGAGATAAAAGACCATGGCATGGCAAGTGAGGCATAGGAGATGGACTACCACAGGGAAGGAGAAAACAAGAACTAATCACTGTTCTTCAGCCCCTCATCACGAGTGGTCCTGCAGTTCTGCCTTGGTGGTGCCAGAAGAGCTCAGCATCCCTGGAAAAGCAGCTACTCACCTTTGTAGAGCGGCGTTTCTCTGGCCTTGTTGGAGATGTCGGGCTCAGCCCCAGCCTGCAGCAGGGTGAGCAGGCAGTCCAGGTTGCCCCGGCTGGTGGCCAGGTAGAGAGCTGTCTCCTCATTGAGGGTGCGCTGGTCGATGGTGCCTGGGTACGCTGTGAGGGAATGGTGAGCCCAAAGTCATTGTGGCACGTAGTGCACAGCTATCTGCAGCACCACCACCCTTCTAAATCCTTGGGGGTTTAAGTTGTTATTGTTTATTCATTTCCATAAGCAATGTAAATTAGGAATATACCATAATGTTACTGTAACTCAGGTTGAGTATGGAAACCTGTCTTCAGTTTAGATTAAAATGTTCAGCTTTGGCCACTAGTGATGCAGAAAGTTGTTGAGTAACTGTTCTTCAGCCGCAGTTTGAAAACAAACTACAGTAATTAACTTCAAGCACCAGCAAAGGGATGCTGGGTTGGATCTCCCCCCAGGGGAAACTGTGGTTATTCCTGTCAGCTTGCAGCAGCCAAGCAGCTCATAGCAGGAGAGAGCTCAGCTTCAAGGCCTGAGCATGAGAATCCCAGGGCTTGGCAGAATCTATCCTGTATCACTTTCTCCCAAATATCATAGCTTTAGGCTTCAGTCTGGAAACCTACTTTCCAAGAGAAGGTGGAATTAATATACAGGCAGGGAGGTTGGAAAGAAGCTTTATACACAGCCCCAGGCTAGGACTGAAACACTGCTAATTTGGCCTTTTAGTTTATCCATGTTCTTTTTCCTTTTGTAATTAGTTATAACTTCACTGACCTTTTTGCAACAGGCTGAGGCAGCCCACTTGGCCATAGTATGCAGCTTCGTGGAGGGGTATCCAGCCATCCTTATTAGGTACAGAAAGGTTTTTTCCTGATTTCATCATGTTGCACACTGCTTTTTCATCTCCATCCCTGATTGCTGCCACTACAGGGTCAATTTCTCTTTAAAACAAGATTAAAACTTGGTTATTGCTTCCTTCATTACTGAGAAGCTTTCTGCAGCAACATCACTGTTATATTTTCCCAAAATAGTGAACCCCTGCAGCCTATATAGCATGTAATTGTACAGTGAGACACCATAGGGCCTGTAAAGATAAAATTTGTCTTCTCTAATCTTGTCACTGCCAGCAGACCAGAAGAATCACTGTCTGGAACTACTGATCACTCTCCTCAGAATGTAAGGAAACTAGGTAGGTGTAATTAATGTCTGACACAAACACTTATATTTTAGATGTTGGGAGCTGTGCAAGACTGGCTCTGACATTGCTGTTCACACTGCAGTGTCCATGACTGATAATTGCATCACCTTGCTGTCCCTTGTGGCATGGTGCTTCCACATGAGATCTTTAAATAAGCACAACTCTGAAGAGAATTACCCCTGTATATCCTTGAAGAAATTTTTAGATTTGATTTGCAGGTGGTTTTAACAGAAATTATCAATAAATCTTACTCTTGTATTTTTAAGATACTTCTTATTTCCATGCATAATCCTGTTTTCAGAATTTAGCCAGTCCACTGAAGAAGGGAGAGCTCTGGTTAGAGCATGTCAACACTGGGGTGTTGGTCTTGGCTCTCCTTTCTTCATCCAGGGAGGAATGAAAAAAATCCACCTACCCAAATCCCTCTGCCAAGTGTGCATTCAGCACACTCTGGGCAGCAACCCATTTACCTGAGCTCTCTGTGTGTTTGCACAGCAGGGCTGACCTGGGCACACCAATCCTGCTGCAGAGCAACACTGACAGCTCCTGTGAGTCTCCCCACACAGTGGGAGTCCCAGCACTGCCTGGCAGCCACTTTCCCCAGGCCAGCAGCACCTGGTTCCTTCCACTCCTTCCACCCCTTCTGAGGCTGCTGGTAGCATGGCAGAGGTGGGGAGCTGGAGAGCTCATACCTGCAGCCAAGGCAGCAGGACCCTTGCCCGTGGTGGGCAGCAGCTCTGTGCATGCTGGTGGGCTGTGCCTTCCAGTGTTGGCATCTGCTTGTGCTCCAGCTGAGCTGTGCTGGGACAAGGCAGCCACAGCTCTGTTATTGCCATGCACTTAATGACTAAGATTCAGCATGGCCAACACTGTGAAGGAAGAAGCACTTTACTTTAAACGGGGACTTGCAAAAAATGAATGTGGGCTGTAGTTTCAGAGCCAGAAAACAAGAAGTTGCAGAAAGCACTGGAGCATTTGTGGTTTGAACTAGCTCTACAGAGAAAATCTGGCAGTCCTGAGGACAGTGAGATGTGGGAGAGAGGTGTGTGTCTCAGACTATTGGTGTTGCCAGGGCAGGAATACAGCACGTGGTGGAGGTCATGCAGGCTAGTGGTGATGGGAACAACCAGAAACTCCAGTTATGACAAGAAGTCTAAAATACCACAACAGAGTGAGATCAGAGACATAAAAATATGGGCAGGTCAGCACAGGAGTCCTCACAAAGCACCATACTGGTGCAACCTCTGCAATTTGTGGGAGTTACAGGAGCAGCACTGAACTTCACTGCCTTGTAGGGGCTGGACAGACCAACAGGCTGAAACTCACACAGGCCTCACTAATTTCAGTTTGCCCAAAGGCACAAAATCTATGCCATAGACAAAATCTATGCAATGATATTAGCATTGAAAGAAGTCACCAAGCTGGTTTTCTGAGGATAAATTCAGGGCCAGGAGTGGACAGGTGATCTCAACCTTTGTGCCTGAGAATGGGAAAAGACACCATTTCCCAGGTGAAATAGTATTTGGTGCCACTCACTCCTTCTCTATAGCTGGAAGCAGTGTTTTCAAGACAGTAGGGTCACAAAAATAGCAACACTGGAATGAGGAGAGATATGAGACACAAGGCCAGGCATTTTGCCTGAGCAGATAACAGCTAGAACATGCAGCTGCTGTCCTGGCCACAGCCCTCCCAGGAGGAATTGACTGACCTTCTGATAACTGCTGGCTGGATGTCCCAGGGACACTGCTGTATCTCCATACTGATTACAGTACCCTGGGGACTAAACCTAACATTACAAATTGTGTACATATAATAGATTTTTATACAGGTGTTTGAAACTGAGCTTTTTTTTGGAGTCTGCTGACAGCAACTATTGGCATTTTTGGCTGGGAGAGGAGGCGGAGGTGGGGGATCTTCATCTTTCAACACCTCTGGCACAAGGCTGCTGAAACCATCTGTTGTTCTGTACAAAGGCTCATGTTACACTTGTAGGGCTGTGACCTCAGGATTTGGGCACATGATATAATTACTGGTGCTTAATGAATTACTGCATGCCAGGTGGGCCATGGCAGGAGTCTGTGCACAGCAAATGCAAGGTAAATCACATTATCTGAGACCTCAGGAAAAGCAGGAGGTACCTTGGATCTGGGCTGGGGTTAAAAATGTGTGAAGAATCAGTTATTATTCTGCTTAAGCTCTCAGATGTTGAATGAAGCAAACTTCTGTTGGGTTCCTTGACCTTAAATGATTCCTGAGTAAGATGAGGGGGTTTGCTGGACCAGGCTGCGGATGCTTTAGCCAAGAAAATTCCAGATCAGAACAGAAGGTTTAATGAATCTCCATGTGAAATCCTTGTTTTCTGCCTGACTTATAGTTTGCTGTTATAAGAACCCACCCCATTCTGCTGCCTGGATTTCATCAGATATAGAAAATAGAAGTATTAAAACATGGAGGTAGCCTGAAGATGAAATCTTAACCTTATAGGCAACTCAAAAGAATTACTGCATTTCAAAGACCAGTAGGCAAGATAATAAATACCCCTTGCAGATGAGATGTCTGGTGAAGTCAATTCTGAGTGCTGAAGAAGAGGTTCAGCGGAACATGGAATGGTTCAAGGAGCTCCTTCTTTTCCTGACAGCCTGGAGAGATGCAGGCAGGATGAAGGAACACCACTTCCCCAGGTGAAGCCAAATATTATCCCTGCCTAGCTCTGAGACTAAGACTATAAAAATGCCAGTCATATCATCATCTCCTAAGATTTCCCAGCTATGCTCCCATGCTCTACATGGCAGCAGAGGAGGGATAATTTATCAGCCTTCTTGTATATTGAACTCTATGCAGCTACCTGGTGGAGAAGAACAGCCTGCCCTCAAGTTTTCCACTGCATCAAAGAGGCATGCAAGAAGTGCAGAGCACCTAGTGAGTGGATGTGATTACAGTGTGGCCAAGGGAAGCTGGCAGGTGACAGGGATAAGGCAGCTTTCATGTTGTAGCAGGAAGAGGTTTTCACAATGACAGGGAGGGCAATGCCAGTGGAGCGCCTGGAACAGTCTGCATCAGCCAGGATGCAGGGGGAGGTGGGGGAGATTGTAGAGCTGGGTGAGAGGTGAAAGAAGAGAGGTAAAAGGGTAATCACTGTGCCTGTGCATCCAGGGAGGGAGGTGTAAGATGGATCAAACAAAATTTGAACTGGGTAGATAGAAAAGGTGGGGAGTTTCTTTTCTGCAGGACACAGGGAAGTGCTGGCTGTAACACTTTCCTCTTGTCATCTGATAGCTAAGGGCAGGTGCATGTCTCTATTCTGCACTGCAGAGAGCTGTAATAAACCCATCATGGTTCACACATTTTCACTACACACAGGCACTGGGACAGAGCTTGGGCCACTGTCTGCTTTTCTCATCCATGGCTGTGTTCAGCTAAGCTTATTTGCAGCCTCTGCCAACAGCAAAACAGGAGGATCAGTCAGTCAAGGTAGTTTCCTCCTTGGACAAGTAAGCCCTCCTTAGTGTGACTGGACAGCACAGGTATGGCTGGGAGCAGGCATGGCATCTTGGGAGCATTTATAAAATACTTACTTGAAGGATTGGACTTTCTCACCTGGGTTATGTGCTGTGATACATTTCCCCCCCACTTTTCCCTGTCCCTGAACACTGAACTTAATACCAATGCAGTTACTTTCAGCACCTGCCTGCCTCATCTATCCTGCTGATAAGTGAGCCAGCCTATATAAATTAACCACAGTGCAGTCATCCCTGCCCTGTTGTCCTTGTCACCTCAGCGCTTCTGACTGGACCCAGAGTCCCCAGGACATGAGCACTGGGGGGATGGAGAGAGATGAAGAGGGAGAAGAGAACAAGGGTATTTGAGGTGGGTCACTTGCAAGAGCACAGGCTTGGGGCAGTGGGGAGGTTGGAACAAGAACAGGAGTGCAGCGAGGGTGAGGTGCAGGTGTCAGTGAGACCTCCTCCAGATGAACACCGCATTTCCCCCCTCCAGGCACCATCACCACCCAGAAGACCTGTCTCAGGGAGAGAGTGGGTAGCAAGGCTTGTTTTGGCTGCAGGGGAAGGCAGGAGAGGGAGAGGGAGACACTTACACGGACTGGGATGTGCTGAACAGGCTGCTGTCGTACCTTCGCCTGACCCCCCAGGCTGCCCCCGAGCTGGATGGCTGAGCACGGCCTGTCTGCTGGGCCGCCAATCTGGAGTGGCGATGACATGAGTGAAATAAGGAGAAATACTCGGAATAGGAGAAACAGGTCATGCTGAGGCAGAAACAGAGACACACATCCACAGAGACGGAGCGAGCGAGCCTGCCGGTCAGGGCTTTGAATAAAAGCAGATGGCCAGGGCTTGCTCTGCACTGGATTCAGCTGCTCACTCGGCTCGAGTTTATTTTTGGCCCTCTGAGGAAGCGTCAGGGGATTCAAATGACCATATAAGACAACAGTGTGGTTAACCCTACCACCACCACACAGGAAACAGGCACAGAGCGAGGTGAGGTGACGCTCATCACCTCTAAAGTGCCATGCAAACAGGTCAGAAGAGGGGGCAGAGGAGGACCCAGAGCTACTGGATGTCAGCTTCCTTTCCATCTCTGCTTTCCCAGCTCAGCAATGCTACAGATTTGGTGCTACAAGCTCCAAAGATTTTCCCTCTGGTGAGAGCTCTAACACTGCTGGGCTGAGGTGAGGCAGATTAATGCACAGAACTGCTAATGCTGCTTTTTGCCAAAATAGCAGGTGTTGAAGGACCTTCAACAAGGACAGGACCAAATGGCCAGGGAAGCCCTTATTGTCCCCTGCATTGGGTCTCTACAGGAGAGCTGACTGTGTAGGTGCACAGTAACCACACCAAGAAACCAGTCCTTGGTGGGAGCAGGACTGCTGCCTGCACAGCATCCTGATTCCACAGCTATGCACATGCTTGCTGCTCATCAAATTGCCCCCAGTTTCCCAGCCTTGGAAACCAAACAACCACAGGTGGTAATGAGCAAGGCATCAGAGGGTGGTGGAGGTATGAAAAAGGAGGAGGAACAGAACTTCAGTAACTGTCAGTTTATTAAAAAAGGGAAAACTAAAGTAACTTAAAAGAGTAAAAGGATATTTTTCCTTGCTTTGGAGGTGACTTTGGAATCTATTCCCATCCCCCTTGAGAAATTTGCCTTTTTTAAAGTGAAAGGGGAACAATATCTGGGTTTGAAACTGTCAGCAGGCCTATGTGACCACAGCTCAGAATTTCAGGGGAGGTGGATGCTGCCACGATTTGGTGTCTGGAGTTGCTCTTGGTTAAGAGTGGTGTGCTAGAAGTCAGACTGATCTGAAATAAACACATCCTTTGAAAACTGAAGTGTTTAACAGGTAGTCAGGTACCACTGTTTTATACACCTGTTTTTTCTGCCTCACTTATGTTTTCCCATAGCAAATGCTTTGCTCCCACTCTGGCAAAACCTAAGCTTGGCATAGAGCAGGCAAAAGGAGCAGCTGGCCTTGGGAGGGTTTCTTTTGCTCAAGAAAGCTTGGCTGTGCCCCTTTTTTCATTATATTTGTTGCTTAAAACAGACAACATCAAGGAAATCCTCCTCTTGCTATGAGCACGTAAATTGTTGACCTCACTGGATTTATAGCAGACTCCAGCTTTGACACTAATGACAGACTCGCCGAGGAGCCGCCTGGCAGAGCTAATTAGAGAGCAGGGGCACTGACAGGGAGCCTGTTTTCTGCTCCTGGGCAGGGCTCTCTGGGGGGAACAGCCCGGGCTGGCACTCGCTTACCTTTGCCAGGGGTAGATGCGGTAGGGAGGGTTGTGGGGGCTGGCACAGCTCGGGGCGCCCACCTCACCAGCACGGGCCACCAGCGACTTCTGGGGGCTCTGGGCCGCTGGCTGACCCGCCGGGTCCTCTTCCAAGCTCTGCTGGATGGCCATCTTTATAAGCTCATCTTCACTCAGGCTACTGTACAGGCTGTACTCCTCACAGCCTATCGTTTGTCTTTGAGTATTTGCTGCTGTTGTAGCCATTTTTATAATTCTTTGCTTTCCTGTAAAAGGAAATTGTGATCATCAAAATCTGGAAAATGGAAAAAGCCTCGACTATCTTGTACTGTGGTTCGGGTCTGCCTCTTAATTAGGCTGACCAGAAAACCCTTCAGTGATCCTTCACCATGGAGAGAACATTATCAGCTAAAATCTGCATGTAAACTGAATGAACAAACTCCTTTCAATTACACAGAAATAACTGGTTAACTGGTGTTTAAAAAAGGGGGAGTTGTTGCAAGCAAGGCAAGTTTTTATCTGCTTATTCTGGTTACCACGTCTCAAGAGAAAAATAGTTAAAGGAAATCCCCTTAAGATTAAAGAGACAAATTTTTGAATTTTATTTAGGAGAAGATCAACGGATGTCTCTTTTTGTTGGTTTTTGTATTTGCAGTATTTGCAATTTAAAATTTTGTACTTGCTGTATTTGGAGGAAATTAAGGGAAGAAGTTTGTGTCTTTTCTGGTTTTCTGCAAGGACAGGTTCCTTTGCACCATAAAGTGCAAAGAGGCTTTGTAATTTTTTCCACCTTATCTGGAGATCTCTCAAGCAACCCACCTTATCTGGAGATCTCTCAAGCAACATGCAAAGCTATGCTTTGAAGTGACTGTTTCACTCAGTGAGGAAAGCAATACCACACTGCTCTGTTTCACTTCTGATTTTTTGCTTTTTCACAGAACAAAGTTCAAGGTCATGAGTGAGACAGAAATGAGAGAAAGGGGAAACATTTGACACACTCAGCAATCACAGAATGACTGAACCACCACTACAGGGCTCTAAAAGGCAAAGACAATTCAAAATACTGCAGAATTTCTAGAATGACTGAACCACCACTACAGGGCTCTAAAAGGCAAAGACAATTCAAAATACTGCAGAATTTCTAGCAGTGATAGGGAAGTACCTATCATTCATGATACCATGAATGGTATGATGCTCTAACAGAACCTCATTTGGATGCCAGAGAGCACTCTGGCCATCAGTGTTCAAGAACCAAGGGTTTATTTTATGGCAGGAGGTGGAAAAACTATCTTCCTCTTTTAGGAAGATATTAGCCAATGCAGAATAGGTCTGATTTTATAAGCACTGAGCAAGAACTGTGTAAAATAATGGGGAGCACTGGGGTGAGGAGCAGTGGGAGCCTCCGGGCAGCTGTCAGCTCCCTTTCCCTGTACAGCTGCTCTCTCCACCAAGCACCCAGCTCAGCCTGGTTCCCTGGGCACTCACACTGACACCGATGGCAGAGGGGTCCAGCAGGCCACAAGCCTGACACCAGGAAAGTGCCCTGCTGCAGCAGCCCTTGCTGCTATGTGCACAGCCAAAAGACAGTCCTGACCCAGAGGAAATGACAGCTCCCCTAATACAGTTTGAAGAAATTGCAAGAGCTTGAATCAATCAAGTAACTTAAAACCTTGGATTTAGGCTTTTCACTTCAGACATGGTGATATCTCCCACATCAACAGCCATCTTAGGCTCTAAGCCCCCTCCAGAAGAAGTGAGACGTCTTCAGGGTAAAGGGAAGCTGAGCAGATTTCAGACTGACATCATAACTTTTAACAATAAAAGATGCATTTTACAGGCACTAAAAATGCTAGAATAAAACCTTCAATTACTGTAAATAATGCAACCCAATTTTGGTGGTTTTTCATCTATTTTTTTTTTTCTTCCTTTATTTTCAGCCAGATATCTCATGGCTGATGTTGTTTTCCTTCTCCAGTCAGTGCCTCAGCTCAGCTATGACCCTTTCTGTCCTGAAGATCCAAGGCGTCACACCGCTGATAGCCTCCCTGTGCCCCCGCTGCTCCGGTACCTGCCTTTGGCTGCTCTCCAGCCAGCAGCTGGCTAGGAACCATGACACAGCTTTGTTTGTCCAGCAGCTTCTGCTGCTCTTTGGCTTGCTCAGCCCCTGGCACGCTGGGCAGTACTTACATAGTCTCTCAGCCTAGGAACTCACGTAGTGACTGGTGAGCTGCAGATGTGTGGAACCCACCGGCTGGAGTTGGAGGGAACATCCAGCAGCCGTCCGCAGCATCCAGCACTGCAATGCCTGAATGTAGGGACCTGGCCCCAGTGGTGACTCAGAAACCTAAACCTAGCTGTCAGCAGGAAGGGCAGGATCTGATTGTAAGCTCCTAATGAAGGTGATGCACAATGAATCCTTGAAGAATGCAAGAATGGAGATGAAACTGCTCCTCTCTGAGGGCAACCTGCACCAGTGCAGGCTGGGACACAGATTCCTCCCCTGTATCCTCCCCAGTCCCATTGCCAGCATCCTCATGGCAGTGAATCCACCATTGCTGTGCTTCTGAGCTGAGTGTTGCAGTGCCTTCTGTGGGAGCCTGGGCTTTAAGGATCTTATGGGAAACCTCTGCCAACATGACTCCACAGCCTGGCACAGAGGAGCTAACTCATAAAGCTGCTTAAGGCAAAAGGAGCTAAAGAGAAGATTTTAAATTTGTGGGGATCACTCCTATTTCATCCCCTTATCGTTTGTAGGGGTTAACTGCAGAAAAAAGGGAGAACCTCTCCTGCATGTTGGTGAGCCTCGCTAATCTAAATATTTTGATAGGAGTTCCACAGAGTTCAGAATTAACAGTGTTGGCTGCAGCTCCCATCACTGATCCATCCTGCAGGGAGAAACTTGATAGGGTTCAAAACAGAGAAAACTTTTCAGTTCTACTCATTGCACTGCACAAACATGATGAAGGTGTGGGGTCACATCCTGGGCTGCAGGAGCTTTTGGGTCCTTATTGAGAGCCAGGGACAGTCTAGGCTGCCCTGAACCCCTGCAGAGAGTGTTCTAATTGGCCTTGAAGCTGTCCCTGCACCCCCCTGCTGTCTCCACTTGCTCAGACAAGTGTGTGTGTGCAGTTTGCCTGTGTGCTGTGACTGAGTTTGGCAGGAGGCAGGGCACATGCCTTCTTCCCTACAGCTCCCTGCAGAGTGGTGTGCAGCAGAGCCACCGCCCTCCCCTTCCACCTGCCGATGCTTTTGTTTGAAGCTGCAGGACCACAGGCCAGGGGCACTGCTCTGAGTTGTGTCTGTAAGAAGCTGCAGTGAGACAGCTGAGCTGCGATGACAGGCTGAGCACATGCCTTTGACTGGAGGCTAATGCACCACAGCCTGATTCAGTTTACCCTTCTTTCCCTGAGACCAAACTCCGTGGCATCACCTGGCAGTGCCTTGGCTCAGCTGACAGAGCAAGGCTAAGCTTACCCCATCTGAGGCCACCAGTGAAACTGCTAACCACAGGCTTATAAAAGCTCACTAAGCTAATGCACTACAAGCTAAATATTTTCCACCTTCTGCAATGAAGGTGTGAAAAAAAAAAAAATGTTGCTAGAAATATTTGAACAAGTCTGGATTAGTAAGATCTGGCCAAAGTGGTCTTTCTAAATGTAGCTTCAATCTATTTCCTTGCTCTAAGCTGGCTTACTGTAGGTTTAAAGTATTGGAATTAGATTTCAAAGTTAAATGCTGCAGGTTTTGGGGGAATGTCTTAACATTTCACTGTACTGTGCATTTCTCTGGCAGCCCAGGAGCCCATCCTCACATGCAGGCAGCACACAGCCTCTACTGGGACAGCAGAACCTGATTTTTAAAGCTGTGGGTATAGGGCCCATATTATTTCTTAGAGAATGTTTTGCTTTCGGGTCCAAATGCTCCACTAGTGATCTCTCTGGGCAGAGACATGTCTTGGAAGTTTGCTGTCTTTGCTGCCATTTAGTAGGTCAATCTGACAAGATCTTCTGGAATCTACATTTACCACCATTTCCACATAGAGTCTTGTCCTGATTTTAATTTTACCATCCTGATTTCAGTGAGAGTTTGTTAATTCAGATGTGTAATCAGGCCTGTGCCATACAGAGGCAACTTAGATGCATCCAGTGACCAGAAGGTAAGGTTGGAAATAAAATATTTGTGCAGGTATGTTTGTGACCTTCTAACCTGTGTTGATGAACAACTGTACCTGCTAGATCTCTGAAACCAAAGGTACTACTCACAAGGGGGACTACTAGTAATCACCTACATGATGGCAAAAGCCAGAGACAAACACAATTAGGTTGCTATTATATTCAGACTACAAGCTCTGTCAACATACTGTGCTTCAGAGAATGGGCCTCTGATCCCTGATGCAACATAAATAAACAAGGATTATGGCTGGCTTTGAACATGCAGAACCATGCAATTCAATACCATTAGCATCTGAAACAACTGGTCCCTGTTGATAGCACTTCTTTAAAGGAAAGCTTAGCGAAGCTGCCTGTCCCCCCTCAATAGATCCCAGGCAGCAGAATTAGCAGAATTACTTATTTCTGTCAGAGAAAGATGGCAGATGAGTGACAAGGTCATTAAGGGAACAGAGCCAGACTCTGCCTGCCTGCGCCACGTTTATTCCAGTCAGCTTGTAACTGAATACAGAACCTTGTTATTTATGGCTCAGAGTGCAATAAACCACATTTGTGACAACATAACCAAGTCTTTGTAGGCTACAAGAGAGTAGACGAGCAGCTTCATCATTTTGCCTTTTGTAAGGAATGGTTGAGCTCCTGCTTCTGCAGATCTGTGTTTGCATTTCCACGTGTTTGTCTTTACTTCTGAAAGCAGCAGGAGCACACATGGGGGAAGGCAAACACGGCTGGATGTCTTCACAACAAACTGAGCCTCTACATCAGTTCTTACTGTGGCACCTTTCAGGACACATCCTCCGTGGGCAATGGAAACCAGACCAACTTGCAGCACATAAAGCACTCACGTTTTTGCTACATTTTAGGTCAGTTTCCTGATAAACTTTGCAGTTTTACAAGGGTATTATATTGGATAACTACTACAAGGAAGCAGGTCATTTTTTTAAAAACAGAAAGATTTCAGTGCCTGTTATATCTGCCAGAGCTGAGACATCAGAAGGATGACACCTCATGCTGTCCTGCTGCAGCAACAGGCAAGGATTCTTTGTAGTGACAGCTTATGCAAGCCACTCAAACCACCAGCCCAGTGCTGAAGGAGCAAAGCCAGGCTTCCCAAAGGAATCCTCTGAGCAAACAAATCCCCTTGTTCAGCCTCAGCTGTCAAAACAGGTCACCTATCAGCATGGCATATGCCCTGATGCCACCAAATCATGATTCCGTGCAAATTCTTTGTGGGAAATCATACACCTGCAAGCTTTTATTTCTTCTCAGAACATACTATTCCACACAGAAATCAGTGCAATATTAGCTTCATGTCAAACCAACTGGAAATTTAAAAAATTATTTATTGATGTAATTTTTCTCATTCACACTGTGCCTTGCATACTACATTCTACCAGAGTATGTTGTAGCTACAGCATTGATTTCTGAGCAAGATATTCTAGAGACAAAGATACAGGCACCACCTATGAGTAAAAGAAAAATAAGGAAATGACAGAGCTACCGTTCTGTTTAACACCAGACAGTGTTTTATGGCATATTTGAAAAAAAAAACAAAGCCCAAAACAAACAAAAGCAAATCACAAAACTCCCAAGACTGTTAGGGTGTTAGATTACAAACTGCTGTAGGAATAAATATTTGCATAGACATAATGAATTGAGAGATTGAAAGTACTAAATAAGTTCAAAACATGCATGTTTGCATTACCTTTTTGTTCTGAAATAAAAGGGTAATAATGGTGTTGAAATGGGTTATCTCCTTGGTTAAGTCTTAATTCAGAAAATCCTCGCTGGTATTTGTCTCCCTGCTTTGCCTGGATGTTTCGATCAACTGCAGGACAGCTTTGAAACACGCTCGCTTTGAAGCCTGGAGTTTATTTCTGGATCACCCCATGATCAGCGAATACAAGCCAAAATATAAGTTGTTCCCAATCTCAGATTTCCTGTTTGAAGATGCACAGCAGAAACTTGTACCAATCCTAAAGTTCTTCTTTGTTGCATTATCTGAAGAACTTCACTTCATCAACATCCTGTAGCTAAATGACACAAAGCTGACCTTTCTATTACATCATTATTTATTGTCCCTGACAAGTAGACCATATATGGATATGTTTCTGGAACTTAAAGAAGAAAAAAAAAATTGCCATAAAATTTTGCAGTAAAATATGCTGTCCTGGAGAGTTTTATTTGCTTGGGGAGAAGTGACCCCCATTTACTTTTGTTTTAGCTGATGCTTATTAAACAAAGCAACCAAACATTACATGGGTATTTACTGATGTCTTGGAGTTGTTCATACATTTTTCAGGCTGCAAGTTGGAGACTTCAGGATTCCAAAAGATGACAACAGCACTTTGTGAACCTGTTCCAAGTAGTATTTGTAAGAGCTTACTAGTGGAGAATGACTGCTCTCATACCACCTAAATGTGAACAATAGATGCTCCCTCAGACTTCTCAAGGCCATAAATGTGAAGTCGTACCCATTTTCCCCATATCTGGGCAAGGGCAAGCTGGCCAAGAAGGAGATAGCACTGATCCAGGGATAAGTTAGAACAGTCAGGCACACATAGGAGAACTGACACTTGGATTGTCTGGATCATAGGGATAATAACGCTCCTTTTGGGAAGGTTTCCATCTGTTTGTCCAGCTAATACAATGAATGGAGGAAAACTATAATAGATTATTAAACTTATGCCTGTGCTTTTTCCTTCAGCTCCTGTTGCACTCATTCCCATGGCAAAACATTGCATATACCAAGAATAAAGCCTAGATGGAAGTGGATCTGGAATCCTTTCTGAGTACCTTGGTGAGGCTCAGGTTCGCTTGTAGGCACTCTGTCAATGCATGAACACCCACATCTAAGGCTTAGCAAGAGCAATCTTGGAGGGAAGAAACATAGCAAGACCATATCACCCACTAATATATGATTCAACTCATCTGCTTTGTTTTCAATCTTTAGACCAGCATCATTCTCTCCATGCTTGCTCCTGAATCCATCTTGCTCCAGCATGACATCATGGTGAATACCTGGCACACCTTGCTTCCCTGCTGTCTGCAAAACTATCTGCCAGTCATAACCAGTGCTGGGACTGTTTTGTCCAAAGTTAAAGTCATCCAGCAGTTACTGTGACAGACAAAGGAGCTCTGGATGTCATCACCAAGTGTGAGAAACTCTTACGCCCTTGACAAGATGTCAGCCAACCCTCTGTGACTGTTAAACAGCACTCAGTGTTTTTTTCCCTTGATACTATTTCAAGATTGTAATTAGCCTTGGCTTAAAACCAAGGGTATCTCCCACATTTAACCCTTCTGCTTCCTCTTTGGCAATCTCTCTCACCCTTGATCACTGAACTCAAGAAAAATTGCTGATACTGTGATGCAGGTTCATACTTCGCAAAGGCAAAGGTGTCTGAGTTTTCCAGGATGGCCTGTGTGATTATGAAAAGACATTGGGGCTCAAGGTCCCATGGGCTATGAACATTGCAGGTGGCTCCCCATGCCATTCACAGCAAGCACACTGCAGTTCCCTTCCCTCCCACGTTTCTGGGCTTCCTTGCAAAAATCTGTGCACCCTTGATGTATTTGAAGCTGCTGTGAATGCTGATGCACTATTTTCCAATAAAAGCACGGGACTCTGCTTCAGAAGATCTATTTTCAGATACCATTAACTCTCTCTTTTGTCTTGAGTAAATCATTTAACTCCTCTGTGTATCATTTTCTACATTAGCGAAGTGGAAATAATCAAATGCATTAACTTCAGAGAACAGTCCAAAATTCCTTGCAGATGGGAAGCCAACAGGACTACTTATATGGATAGAGACTGCTGAATAAGACCTTATTTAATTAGTATCTGTGAAATCCTCAGAGGACAGGCTCATATAAATTTGAATTTTAATTACAGAAATAATACTATACAGAAATGAAATCATACATTAGGGGGTTGATTTTTTTTTCCTGATGTAACGATATTGTGACTTTATTACAACACAACCAAAGCATAATAATAACAACAATCATGATTTATTAACATTGCATCAGATTGGCTAATATTTCCCCTGGGGCATGCAAAATTACAGATCTGCATTTTCAGCTTGACCCTGAGACATTTCAATAGATTACAAATGTCACCTGCAAAAATGAATACGTAAATTTACACAGTTTTCTGGAACAAATTTCAAACTCAGACTGCATATTAGATCTGTTCACTTCCCTTAAATAGAAATGATGGAAATGACCAACTCATGCTGATGGGGGAGAGTCAGCTTGGGTCTCAAAAACAAGGCACAGTAGAAGAGATTTGAATCTGGGAGGAGAAAAGAAGTATGACCATGTGAAAACAAATGGCAAAATAATCAAAAAGATGGTTTTCTCCTTCATATTTCTTCAAAATAGCCGGAAGAAGCCAGGTTAGGATAGCACATTTAAAATCTTTTCCTTTGTCTCTACTTCCATTAGTTGAATTAATTAGCCTGTCATCACTATTAAGCCCTTCAGCTCTACCAAGCTACACAGCTGAATCTGGCAGCTGAGGCTGGAGGGAAAAATAAAGTTTGTGCCTCCCAGGAGACCAGTGAGCTTGTCACTTCCTCATTCTGTGTGCAGAGCTGCTACAGATGTGCCTTCCTGCGATGAAGCGCAGGTGAGAATGGACATCAGCACAAACTGTCTTCCACAGCCTGTATCTACCAGTCACGACTAATTCTACTGCATCCAAACACTTGGCAAATGTGTGGCTGTTCTGAAAGGAAGAAAGTACTGACTAGTTCTGACAGTAACAGTTCTTGGACAGAAAATCTTCATAACACTTTACCTCAGGACAGCATATCTTTTTGTGCACCAATTACCTGTAACTGTTGTCTTGTTACTTAGGTCTGGTCTGAATTTTTTACTGTAGAAAGACAGCAAGGTATTTTGAGTGGCACATTTCCATAGAGAGCATGGATCTAGAGTACACATCCTTTGCCATATATCCAGTGAGCAGAGCTTTGCATTCAGTGTTGCCATGCTGTGCTTCCATCAGACAGCCCCAAACCAGAACCACAAGCACCTCTCCTGTGCCTCCTGCTACACAACCCACATTCAAATAACGAGAATATAGGAACTCCCACAAGAAAAGATGGTTTCAATTTCCTTTGCAAGAACTAATGATTTCTTTGGCCACAGTACCCTGAGAGAGGCAAGGAGCCAGAGGAACTTGTATGGGAAAAGGTGCAGGATGTCATGCATGCCCAGGGGTAATGAATATGATATACATTATTCCATACTAACTTTGCTGCCTAAATACTGCTTTGCTGGAAAGATGTATCTGTTTTGAGATCACTCTACCAAGATCATAATTCCCCTTTCAGGAGGAATTTAACCAACTTCAATGGTTGCTGACACACACCCTGAATCAGGGTGGACTTTGGCTTAGTGTATGACTTATACCTCTGTACAGTGGCTCCTCACAGAAAATTTTTCCCTTTGAAACCTAATCAAAATTAAGTCCTCACTCCTCTGGAAATGTGACATGACCACAAAGGGGAACACCCAGTGTCCAGGTCCTAAGACCACTTTCAGGTGTCTGATGACTCAGCCCTGCCAGAGAGTTTTGTAAGAGTGTACAGCTATTACAGTCAATGCCACTCTGCAAATGTCATCATAAGGTCACATCCACTGACTCAACCTGAAAGAAGAATCAGTCAGAGGGAACATGAAAATCTAATAGGAAGTGAACACAACCCAAAGACTGTATAAACAAATACATGTTCCTTGGAGGAAGAGGGAAATCACAAACATTATCATTTAGTTCTCTGCTGTGCAAATATCATTTATCTTATGTTATAATGTATGTTAGTAAGAATTCTAATGAAAGACCTGCCTTTACTTTGACCTTTACAAAATCCACAAAATTCAGAGATATTGCTGAAGTCCCAGGGCTCTGAGGCTCCTGCAGGGGAGCAGGAGGATGGAAATGGCAACCTAAGACACAAACTTCTGCGAATAGCAAAGGTCTTGGGAAAAACAGTGTCTCCAAACTGATGGAAAAATGAAAACAATTTTTATTGTTTTTTATTGTTAATTTCATGGGTTTTTAAAAGGAATCCTTGGATATATGCCATGGCTGTTTACCTCTCCATTCAGTCTCTTAGGATAGTTCATTAACAAAGTCTCTTTTGAAGCTTCTCTGTGGTACCCTCTGATTCCTTTCAGACTGATTTGTTTCTAGCTACTGTGCCTCCTGTATGCAATAAGACCTATTGCATTGCTCCCCTTCCTGCAACAACAAGAGAGGCTTTCTGCATATGGATCTGTCCTTGCTTTACTCTTGCCACAGATAAACAGACCTCAAAAACAAACAAACAAAATGTTCCTGCCTAAATTCAGCAGCTTGCAGTAATGTCCACAACTTTTACCACAATGAAGTCCAAGGAGTTACAGCTCCCTGTGGGCTTGGAGTGAAGCTAAGGCAGGTACTAGCAGAGCAAGGCAGAGCAGGACCCTCCTGTGCACAGCCCCATGGGAGAGGTGCATGGGCTGGGCTCTAGAAAGGTGGGATCCAGCCTGGCTTGGGATGGATGCTGGAGGTTGCTTCTGACCAAGTCAGCGGGAAGTGACTGCTGCCATGGCACTCAGAGACTGAAAGCAAGGGGACAAGCTGTCTTTCACATTGCTCCTGCTATGCTGGTCCACTCCCCTGATGAGGTGGCAAGGCCTGGTACATGGATGGTTGTGTGCAGACAAGAGCAGCAGAAGCTCCAGAACAGGCTGTGCTAAAGGACACTGCACCATCCCCTCTATTTACCCAGTGCTGGTTTTGTGTGCTGAAAATTTTGTATGTAGTAAATACAGTCCCTGAAGCCCTGGT